TCCCCAGTTGATCAAAGGATATTTCCCCAACTGATCAAAGGATTGGTCAAAAGATATGAACAAGCAGTTTTCAGAGGAAGAAATTAAAGCTGTCTACTCATATGAAAAAAAATGCTCTAAATCACTGTTGATTAGAGAAATGTAAATTAAAACAATACTGAGGTACCACATCATTCCTATCAGATTGGCTAAGATGACAAAACAAGAAAATGATAAATGTTGGAGAAGGTGTGGGATAATTGGACACTAATGCATTGTTGGCAGAGTTGTGAATTCATCCAAACATTCTGGAGAGCAATTTGGAACTATAACCAATACCACTTCTAGGTCTGTATCCCAAAGAGATCATAAAAAAGGGAAAAGGACCCAATAAATATTTTGTACAAAAATATTTATAGCAGCTCTTTTTGTGTTGGCCAAGAATTGGAAATTGAGGGGATGCTCATCAATTGGGAAATGGCTGAACAAGTTGTGGTATATAAATGTAATGGAATACTGTTGTTTCATAAGAAATGATTAGCAGGTGGACTTCAGAAAAACTTGGAAAGACTTGCTGAGTGAAGTGAGCAGAACCAGGAAAACACTGTAGACAGTAATAGCAATATTGTGTGATGATCAACTTTGATAGACTTAGAGACAATTCTGAAAGACTCATGATGGGAAATGTTATCCATATCCAGCAAAACAAAAACAAAAACTATGCAGTCTGAAAGCAAATTGAAACATATTATTTTTCCTTTTTTTTTTCTTTCTCATGGTTTTCTCCTTTGGTTCTTATTCTTTACAACATTACTAATGTGGAAATATGTTTAATATGATTGGACATCTATGGCTTATATCACATTTCATACCTTCTTGGGGAGGGGGAGGGGAAGGAGGGGGAGAAAATTTAAAACTCATAAACATAAAAGTGAATATAGAAAACTAAAACTAAATAAATTTTTAAAAAAAGATATATTGGGAGGGTGCATTGAAAATTGGCCAAAATAGCTGATATATTTCCATTTCGGTAAATTTAATAAAATAGTTTATCTTAAAAAAAAAGGCTGATTACAGCAGAGGGAAAGAATGGAGTAGGTGGTGAGCATTGTTTGAACCTTACTCTCATCAGATTTGGCTCCAAGAGGGAATAACATACACATTCAGTTGGGTTATAGAAATCTATCTTACCATATAGGGAAGTAGGAGGAGAAAGGGGAAAGAAAAGGAAAAGGGTAGATAGAAGGGAGGACATAAGTAGTAAGGGAAAAGGGAAAGAAAAGGAAGGGAGACTGATAAAAGGGAGAGCAGATTGAGGGAGGCAGTGGTCAGAAGCAAAACATCGGTGAGGAGGGAAAGGGTGAAAGGAGAAAAGTATAAACAGGGAGAAAAATAATCATAACTATGAATATGAATGAAACAAACTCTCCCATAAAATGGAAGCAGATAGCAGAATAGATTAAAAACCAGAATCCTACAATGTGTTGTTTACAAGAAACATATTTGAAGCGGAGAAATACACACAGAGTACAAGTAAAAGGCTGGAGAAAAATATATAACACTTCAGTAAAAAAAAAAAAGGCAGGGATAGCAATCCTGATCTCAGACAAAGCAAAAGCACAAATAGATCTAATTAAAAGAGATAAGAAAGGAAACTACATCTTGCTAAAAGGTACCATACACAAGGGCTTCTTAAACTTTTTCCATTTGCAACCCCTTTTTGCCTGAGAAATTTTTGTGTGACCCTGGGTATATAGGTATATAAAGTAGGCATACAAATCAAACATTTACTGATAATAAATTATAAAAAAATTTGTTTTAAAACAAGTCTTTGGTATAAATATAATTTAACATTTATTAAAGACAAAAGCAAATTTGTATACTAATGAGATGGATGTGCTTGTTTATTTTTACATAAAGAATTAAGTCCTGGTGGAATATTTGATACTTCAGCACACAGAGCATCTTCAATGTTTTTCAGATTTAATCAATATTTTGATTTTATAATTGCCACTGCTGAGAAAGCTGCTTTGTGTATGCAACAAATAACAGTTTTGAAAGCTGTAAGTCATTATGAAAAAATTAACAAAATTGAATTTCTGCTCAAAAACTTCATCTTTCAATTTCAATAAGCTGTTTAAATTTTGTCCTTACATATGCATGTAGTAATAAGGTTTTATAATCAGAGTCTATGTCTTTGCAAAGGTTTGAAAACAAACAACTGTTAAATATACAGCTTTTACTGAAGTTAATGATTTTGATAGTATCTCAAAGAACAACATTTAACTCTGGTGATTTTTTTCTTTTGGCTACACGTGCCTCCTGATGGAACATGCAGTAAGTAAAAGTGATATGTTCATTGCGACCAGCTTTAACTTTTGATACAAATCCAACATTCTAGCCCATCATTGTTCCAGCACCTTCTGTACAGAATTCAACATGATTTTTTCACTATAAACCTTCATTTGTGAAAAATTCATCAACTTTAAGATAAATATATATAGATGTGTTTGTGTATATATATATATATATATATAAACATATACATACATACATGCATATATAATATGTGTGTCTATGTCTTTCCCTCTTGTGTGCCCTTCCAAAGGGCAACAAAACAATAATTCCTCATGTGCTTCCTTCATAAACATATCTTACGTAAAGTAATATCTAACTGAATTGCCAACTTTAGGCTGCCCTTAAGCCTGCTAATGTGCTACTGGAATTGGTCATTACTAATTTCAGACATTCTTTAGGAAATAGTAGCATGGATAAACCCAAAGACCCCAGCTCCTGGGATAAGAACCCACTCTTTGAAAAAAACTGCTGGGAAAACTGGAAAAGAATATGGCAGAAACTAGGCATAGACCCAAATCTCACACCATATACCAAAAGAAAGTCAAAATGAGTTCATGACTTAGATATAAAGGCTGATACCATAAGTAAACTGGGAGAACAAGGAATAGTTTACCTATCAGATCTATGGAGAACAGAAGAATTCATGACCAAACAGGAGATAGAGAATATTATGAAATTCAAAATGGATCATTTTGATTACATTAAATTGAAAAGTTTTTGCACAAACAAAACCAATGCAGCTAAGATTAGAAGGAAGGTAGAAAATTGGGAAAGAATTTTTACAACCAGTCTCTCTGATAAAGGCCTCATTTCTAAAATATATAGAGAATTAAGACAAATTTATAAGAACACAAGCCATTCCCCAACTGATAAATGGTCAAAGGATATGAACAGACAGTTCTCAGATGAAGAAATTGAAGCCATCTATAGTCATATGAAAAAATGCTCTAAGTCGTTATTGATTAGAGAAATGCAAATCAAAACAACTCTGAGGTACCACATCACACCTATCAGATTGGCCAACATGACAAAACAGGAAAATAATAAATGTTGGAGAGGATGTGGGAAAATTGGAACACTAATACATTGTTGGTGGAGTTGTAAAATGATCCAACCATTTTGGAGAACAATTTGGAACTATGCCCAAAGGGCTACAAAAATGTGCATACCCTTTGATCCAGCAATAGCACTTCTAGGGCTATATCCCTAAGAGATCAAACAAATGGGAAAAGGACCCACATGTACAAAAATATTCATAGCAGCTCTTTTTGTGGTGTCAAAGAATTGGAAATTGAGAGGATGCCCATCCAATGGGGAATGTCTGAGCAAGTTGTGGTACATGAATGTAATGGAATACTATTGTGCTATAAGAAATGATGAACAGGCTGACTTCAGAAAAACCTGGAAAGACTTATATGATCTGATGCTGAGTGAAGTGAGCAGAACCAAGAGGACTTTGTACACAATAACAGCCACGTTATGCAATGACTAATATTGTTAAACTGAACCCTTCTCAGCATTACAAGGATCTAAGACATCTCCAGAGGCCTCGGGATGGAAAATGCTGTCCACATCCAAAGAAAGAACTATATGGAAGTCGAATCGCTATCACTTATTTTTACCTTCTGTTGAGTTTTGTTTCATCTTTCTGATGGTTCCTCCTATTGGTTTGAATTTTTACTTACAATTTCACTAATGTGAAAATATGTTTAATGGGTATGTAAATGTAAGGCCTATATCAAATTGTGCACCATCTTGGGGAGGGTGGGGGGGTGGAAGGGGGAGAAAAATTTTCAACTCAAAAGCATATGGAAGTGATTATTGATAAATCAAAATAAATTAATAAAATTTTTAAAAAGGAAATAGTAGCATGCAATGCAGCAATTTTACAAATTTCATCCCCATATTTTTTCCCATAAACTATTTCTGACATTTCAATAGCAGCAGATAGCACAAGATCTATTGTGTAGGGCTTTTTACTTTTTGTGATTAAATAAGAAGTTTAATAAGATGCGAGCAAATACTTTTCATTGACAATAACAAATTTCTCAAAACATTGTTTTTCTTTATTTGAAGATTTTAAAAATGATTGAAAGCATTCCTTTGGTTTATCGCAGTACTCTGCATGCTTGGCATTAAGATGTCATTTTAAAGGGGCATCTAGATAGTGTAGTGGATAGAGCACTGACCCAGGAGTCAGGAGGACTTGAGTTCAAATTTGAGCTCAGACACATGATACTTACTAGCTGTGTGACCCTGGGCAAGTCACTTAACCCTAATTGTCTCACCAGAAAAAAAAAAAGATATTATTTTAGTTTGGCTGGTTTCATGCTCCCCCGCAGCCAAAACTTCATTACAAATTAACAAAGAGAGTTTTAAATCCATATTGCAAAAATGATTTGACACATTTTCTTCTTCTTGTCAACTTAGTTATACTACAACCTGGTAGTAAAGACACTGCTGCAATGTTATCAGTATTTTTACCTCTGCTGTCTAAATTTATCCACTTATCCACAACTGAGAAATATTTTTGTCCTAAAATGAATAAATATATTATAATGATTTCTAAAATATTAGCTTTGGTTAATGAAATTACATTTTAAAAATTGATGCTCCCACTTACATACATATACAGCAGTGATGATGGAGAAATATTATTTAAGGGCTTTTGTCTTTACTTCTCACAATTAAACATGTTTCTGTAAAAGAAGGAGATAACAGCAATTTTTAAAATCAAACATTCTAACATAATACAATCCAAAGATATGCTAATTTGATATTACATGCTGAGGAATGATGGCAGGAAAATATTAAAAATATTTTCCAGAATTAAATGATTATGTTTCTGTAAGAGCAGAAAACTTTGTATGTACAGTAATAACATTGCAGTTCATACCATACAATAGTCTTGAATCTGAGCTGCAGTGTTTCTGATAGTGTTTGTTGGCATTGCGTGGCATGATGGCATGTGCAGTGCAAAGTGCTCATGTTGTGTTTTTAGAAGGCAGGCTGCAGTGAAGTCATGTGATGCAACATGGGCAAGTGCTATCATAAACACCTTGGATTCATTACACATTTGATTTTGAATTAATTTGTGGTCACTGCGTTCAGAAACCTTTTACTTTTGCCAAATTTTTTTGTGACCCTCACATTCAGTTACTTGACCCCATATGGGATCATGACCCACAGTTTAAGAATCAATGTCACAGACAATGAAGTATTATCAATACTAAACATATATGTACCAAGTGGTATAGCATCAAAATTCTTAGAGGAGAAGTTAAGTGAGTTATAGGAAGAAATAGAAAGCAAAGCTATACTAGTAGGGGACCTGAACCTCCCACTCTCAAAATGAGATAATCTAACCATAAAATAAACAAGAAAGATGATAAGAAGCTGAATGCAATTTTAGAAAAGTTAGATATGATAGACCTCTGGAGAGAATTGAATGGGGATAGAAAGGAATACACCTTTTCCTGAGCAGTATATGGGACCTTCACAAAAATGGACCATGTATTGGGGCATAAAAACCTCACAATCCAATGCTGAAAGGCAGAAATATTACATGCATCCTCTTCAGATCATGATGCAATAAAAATTACATGTAACAAAGGGCCATGGAAAGATAGACTAAAATTAATGGTAAACTAAATAATTTAATCCTAAATAATGAGTGGGTCAAACAACAAGTCATAGAAACAATCAATGACTTAATCCAAGAGAATGACAAGAATAATGACGTAACATACCAAAACTTATATGTTGCAGTGAAAGTGGTTCTTAGGGGAAATTTTATATCTCTAAATGCTTAAAAATAAAATAGAGAAAGAGAAGATCAATGCATGCAACATGCAACTAAAATTTGGGCATGCTAGAAAAAGCTAGAAAAAGAATAATTAAAAACCCCCAATTAAATACCAAATTAGAAATTCTGAAAACCAAAGGAGAGGTAATAGAATTGAAATTAAGAAAACTATTGAACTAATAAATAAAACTAAGAGCTGGTATTATGGGAAAAAAACATAAAATAGGTAAACCTTTGGTTAATTTGATTTAAAAAAAAGAAGAAAATCAAATTACCAGTATCAAAAATGAAAAGAGTGAATTAAAACAATAATTAGGAGCTATTTTGCCCCACTGTGCCAATAAACCTGACAATTTAAGTGAAATAGATGGATATTTACAAAAATAAAAATTGCCCAGATTAACAGAAGAGGAAATAAAATACTTAACCCCATTTCAGAAAAAGAAATTAAACAAGCCATCAATAAACTCCCTAAGGAAAAATCTCCTGTGCCAGATGGATTTACAAGTGAATTCTACTAAACATTTAAAAAAAATTAATTCTAATACTATATAAACTATTTAGAAAAATAGGTGAAGAAATCCTACCAAATTCTTTTCTGATACTTAAACTAGGAAAAGTCAAAACAGAGAAAGAAAATTATAGACCAATTTTCCTAATAAATATTGATGTAAAATTTTTAAACAAAATATTAGCAAAGAGATTACAGCACTTTATCATGAGGATAATAAATTATGACCAGGTAGGATTTTGGGAGTGGTTATTTATAGTATCTTTTCTTTTTTTAAAAAAAGTTAATTTATTTTTAGTTTTCAACATTCATTTCCATAAGGTTTTGAGTTTCAAATTTTCTCTTCTTCCCTCTCCTCCTCCCTTCCCAAGGTTGTGTGCAATCTGATATAGGCTCCACATATTCATTCCTGTTAAACATATGTTCACAGTAGTCATGTTGTAAAGAAGAATTACAACCAATAGAAAAGCAAGCCATAGAACAATGTGGCTGTTACTGTGTGCAGTGTTCTCCTGGTTCTGTTCACTTTACTTGGCATCAGTTCATTTAAGTCTTTCCAGATTTTTCTGAAGTCCACCTGTTCATCATTTCTTTTCTTTTCTTTCTTCTTTTTTTTTAACTAGGCAATGGGATCAAGTGACTTACTTGCCCAGGGTCACATAGCTAGTAAGTGTCAAGTGTCTGAGGTCAGATTTGAACTCAGGTCCTCTTGACTCCAGGGCTAGCACTCTATCCACTGTGCCACTTAGCTACCCCTTATCATTTCTTACCATCTATATATATATATATATATATATATATATATATATATATATATATATATACATAATTTTTTTTTTTTGGTTAGGCAATTGGGTTAAGTTACTTGCCTAGGGTCACACAGCCAGTAAGTGTCAAGTGTTTGGTCTGAGGTAGGATTTGAACTTAGGTCCTCCTGACTTCAGGGCTGGTGCTCTATCCACTGCACCACGTAGCTGCCCCACCCTTATCATTTCTTATAGCACAATAGTATTCCATTACATTTATATACCACAATTTGTTCAGCCATTCCCCAATTGATGGACATCCACTCAATTTCCAATTCTTTGCCACCACAGAAAGAGCTACTATAAATAATTTTGTACATGTGGGTCCTTGTTCCATTTGTATAATCTCTTTGAGATACAGCTCTAGAAGTGGTATTTCTGGGTCAAAGGGTATGCACATTTCTATAGCCCTTTGGGCATAGTTCCAAATTGCTCTCCAAAATGGTTGGATCATTTTGCAACTCCACCAACAATGCATAAGTGTTCCAATTTTCCCCATATCTCCTCCAACATTTATTATTTTCCTCTTTTGTCATGTTAACCAATCTGATAGGTGTGATGTGGTACCTCAGAGTTGTTTTGATTTGCATTTCTCTAATCAATAGTGATTTAGAGCATTGTTTCATATGACTACAGCTTTAATTTCTTCCTCTGAAAACTGCCTGTTCATATCCTTTGACCATTTATCAATTGGGGAATGACTTGTATTCTTATAAATTTGACTCAGTTCTCTATATATTTTGGAAATGAGGCCTTTTCAGAGACACTGGTTGTAAAAATTGTTTCCCAGCTTTCTGTTTCCCTTCTAATCTTGGTTGCATTGGCTTTGTTTGTGCAAAAACTTTTCAATTTAATGTAATAAAAATTATCCAGATTAAGACAACTTTGGTGCAAAGAAGCCCTTTTCACCATTCCCCTGCCAGCTTGAATAATGCTGATAAAATGAATGTGTTCTGTCAAGAACTGCAATTAGAACATATGCTTTCTGCGTGATGTCACCAGTTGTAACTGCATTGCTACCTAAGCAGAGTATGCTTGTAAACACAGAGAAGAGCAGTGGGAGGTGGAGAAGGTGCAGGCAGGGTAATTAGCACAGAAGTATTAAGTATTATATTGGGAACAGCTCCTTGTTATTACACAAAAAACATTGGAAATTTTTTAATTCATTGGAAATATCAACTCAGATTCTTAAATGTCTTAATGCCTGACTGACATTTAAAGCTCTTCACAAACTCAACTCCTTCCTATATTTCCAATCTTCTTACATATTCTTCTTCTTCACATGCTCTACATACTAGCCAATTTACTATTTTTCATGCACAATTCTCCATTTCTATTCTCTGTGCCTATACATTGCCTTGCCTCCTATACCTAGAATGTTCTACCTACCTACATTTGCTTCTTGGCATCCCTGGATTTCTTCAAAATTCTGGTCAAGCACTACTTCCTTTATGAAGCCTTTCCTGATCCTCCTAGCTGCTAGTGCACATTCTCCCAAAACTAATTTATTTTCATTTTTTTGACTGTGTGCACATATTTGTAATATACAGTCAATCCTCAACTTTTTCAGGGATAACATTCCTAGAAAATAGCACCAAAATGAAAAACATGAATGTTGATACATTGAACCATCTATTAATAAGGGGTTAGGTTCCCATGACCACCCAAAACTGTAATCTTTCACTACAGATTGCTGAAAATACACTTTTCTGCATACAATTCTTTATAACAAGACATAATTCTGACATAACACATACTCTTCCTAACCATGAAATACTCCATAAAATACAGTACACAATGTAAACTGGTAACATGCAAAACATTTTTTCTCTCTAGTAATTCCCTAGAATTTTGTGACCTATTGTGCTATCTCAATAAAAAAAAACTTATTTCAGACAATATTCCCTTTTCATAACATATAGAATTTACTGTACAGCAAATAAAATTCTTAAAACTAAAACTTTTAAAATCTGATTCTTACCTTCCACTGTGTCAGATGGTGGTGTCAGGGGTTGACTATACTGCTGTAAACCTCTCTACCTTGGTCATCATCTGAAAATCAAGGGAGAGGTTGCTGGGACTTTAGTCACTGCTGTCAGAAGACACCATGACTGGGAAGATCTCAACCTCACCTTAAAGCCCGAAGAACTTGAACTGAACTTTAGGGGCATAAAAGTTGAGTTTTAAAGGTAAACAATGAAAATATTCAACAAATGCATGGGGAACTCTTTACAACTTACAACTCTTTACAACGTCAGGCCACTTTACAACCAGCGACTTCACAAACTTGTGTGTTTCATCCCTTTTACTTTTTTCTCTACTGCACATAGCCACAAATGTGGGGGGTGGGGTTGGCAAAAGTGAAAATGAAGTTACTAATGAAGTCACTCAAGTGCTTGAAATTGGGAAAGTTAAATGGGCAGATGTTGAGGGTTGACTGAATATATAACATATAAGTAGTTATATGTATATATGCTATCTCCCTCATTACAATGTAAGCTGTTTGCTTTTGTTTTTGTATCCACAGCACTTAGCACAATTCTTGGCATGTAGTTGACACTTAATAAATGCTTATTGATTGATTACAGTCAAGGATGACCACAAAGTGTTATTTGCTATGCCATATCCAGTGACACTGTATACAGGGTGTTTCAAGTCTTAATGCAGTTTAAAGCTTTAATAGGTTAAAAATTCACTAAGATTTTTGGGACATCCTATAAACATGTCATAAAAATAACAACAAAGAATACTATTCAAGCCTGAGTTGCTCCAATCCAAGCAGCTATATCCTAAAAAATGACATTTAATCCAATCCTAAACTTTACAAGCCAAATCTGCTTAGATTTATGCATTTATTAGTAGCCCCTATAACACTAGCTCTGTAGATTCATTGGACAACTAAAATATTAAATAAGAGTTTTTTTAAATTTTAATTGATCCAAGTTTTAAACTGTCATCAGAGATAACTCTCTCTATAATTCTCTCCTCTCACTATGTACTAAGCTATGTACTTTTCTCTAGCCAATCCTGGGTGTTCAGACAAGATATTAGAATTAAACTCTGTTAAGAAAATGGAGGGCATCACACCTAACAGATTGGCCAACATGACAAAACAGGAAAATGATAAATGTTGGGGAAGATGTGGGAAAATTAGAACACTAATGCATTTTTGGTGGGAGTTGTGAAATGATCCAACCATTTTGGAGAGCAAGTTGGAACCATGCCCAAACGGCTACAAAAATGTGCATGCCCTTTGACCCATAGCACTTCTAGGGCTATATCCCAGAGATATCAAACCAATGGGAAAAGGACCCACATGTACAAAAATATTCATAGCAGCTCTTCTTGTGGTGTCAAAGAATTGGAAACTGAGAGGATGCCCATCAATTGGGGAATGGCTGAACAAGTTGTGGTATATCAATGTAATGGAATACTATTGTGCTGTAAGAAATGATGAACAGGCTGACTTCAGAAAAACCTGGAAAGACTTGTATGGTCTGATGCTGAGTGAAGTGAGCAGAACCAGGAGAACGTTGTACACAGTAACAGCCACGTTGTGTGATGACTAATATTGATAGACTTAACCCTTTTTAGAAATACAAGGATCTAAGACATCTCCAAAGGCCTCATGATGAAAAATGCTATCCACATCCTAAGAAAAACCTATGGAGTTTGAATGCAGATTGAAGCATACTATGTGCTATTTTTTTTCTTCTGTTGTGTTTTGTTTTGTCTCTCTGGTGGTTTCTCCTATTGGTTCTAATTCTTACCTACATCACTAATGTGAAAATATGTTCAATAGGAATATATATGTATAGCCTATGTCAGATTATGCACAGTCTTGGGAAGGGAGGTGGGGAGGGAGGGGGAGAAAAATTTAAAACTCAAAAGCTTATGGAAGTGATTGTTGATAATTCAAAATAAATTAGTTAAAAATTAAAAAAAAAAGAAAATGGAGGGCATCTTCATCATTAACAATAAAGAAACCTTGAAATACATTATCAGTTGTAATATTCCCTCTGTAGTTCAGGAGGTGGAGTGAAAAAAGAGAAAAAGATGTAAAATCTCATTTTAAATAAAATATCAGGTTATCAATGTGGATGAACAGGAAAACATCACACTTCTGTCCTTCATATTTCAATAATTAAATTACATAAAGATAAGGTCCAAACTTACTTTTAGAGTATTTTTAACAATCTTTTTAAAAAAATATTTTTCTTTAAAACTGCTTTTCCAAAATAAAACTGCAAAGCAAGTTTGGGCAATTAAAAGTATGTCAGAATCATGGGAACAATGCTAGGATTATATGTCCTATGTTATATTTTGAGTAATGACACTGTACCCAGAATAGGGACAAGTTGATCTCTAGGGGAATTTTTAAACCTCAAAGTGCTCAAATGTAAGTCAACATTATTTCAACCCTTGCTGCTGGTGAACTTTATGGGATGCCTTGAAGAAGTTGCAAAAATACAACATGCAGCTTGGGAGTGGGGAGCAAGAAGGTGGTGAAAGAAGGGCAGTCCCAACTAGTTTAATGATGTGATGGTAGATTTGTGAACTGATTCTATGTACTTAAGGCCTACGTTAAAAGTTCACTTTTTTTTTTGAGGCAGCATGATGCAGTGCAAAGCACTGGTTTTGTAGTGAAAAGATCTAGATTTGAATACTAACTCTGCTACTCTGTAACCGTGGGCAATAGCTAACATTTATATAGTACTTACTATGTGCTAGGCATTGTGCTAACACTTTGTAATTATTATCTCATTTGATCCTCACAACAATTCTGGGAGGTGGGTGTTATTATTATTCCCATTTTACAAATGAGGAAACTGAGGCAAACAGAGGTTAAGTGACCTGCCGGGGTCACACAGCTAGTAAATGTCTGAGGATTTTAACTTAGGCAGATGAATCTTCCTGATTCCAGGCACGGCACTCTATCCACTGCATCCATCACCTCACTATTCCCCACAAAAAATTTTTCCTCCTACCAAAAGTGATTTACTTTAAGGGACCTGGTTTTTCTTCTCCTAAAGGCACTAATTCCTGAACTGACTAATTCTGGAACTCTTCCACCACTCTACTGGTGAGCTCCTAAATTGATTTGTGATTTTTTTACACATAAGCCTTAGGGGTATGGCTGATTCCCTCAACCAGTCATCATGTTTTCATTTCCTGTGTTTTATTTGTCTTAATCCAATGGTACAAAGCTCCCTAGTACTTTGAAAATCCTTTCATTTACACACTGTGGTGGGATTGTAAGAAATTTTCTCAACACCTAGTCTATACTTGGTGATTTCATTTTAGGTTTGATTTATTGAGTCTGTGACTAACTCAGTTGAGGTGTTTGGGCTTTCTCTGCTTATGCTGAGATGGGACAGGTAGGACCATTCTTTACATAAAGTATTTTTACAATGATACTACCATTTATTTCCATATGTAGTCTATGCTGAAGCAAGGTAAAGAAGGCTAGCAGTTAATGAAATAGTTACCCTAATAGGGTCAAATAGTGTATCATTTTTTTCTTTAATTAATTGGTTGTCATGCTTAATCAAATAATCTGTCATAAATTTGGCCCTCAAATGTATACTTTCCCATTAACAACAACAACAAATACTGAAAGGTCACATGATAAATGATAAAATTCCATAAATGGTAAAAATAAAGTTGCATTGCAAATACTAATTGAAATTTGTATTTATAGGGGTAATCAGTCAGTTGATAAACATTTATTAGCATTAAATAAGTTTTACAAGTTCCCAAGCTGCTTTATTCACAGCCATTGTTTTCCTTAATGCTTTGATTAACTGAAGAATCATCCAACTGAATAAATTAAGACCTTACAAAGTACTTTATTTTTTTCCTCTGTAAAGAAGGCAAGGGGAAAAACTTTGCATGAATCACTGAATTAAATAAATCTGGGCAATAGTAATATTAATTTCCTCAGACCAGTAAGAAATCAATGACAACAAAAAAAAAGGCTGGGTTTCTATTTTTTTCTACAGCCAAGATTCATAGCTTGATATAACACCGCTTCTGGGACTGTCCCAACTTGGCAATCATACTTTCTCTTGATATTGACAACTGAGGATTAGGATGCCAATTTAGCAGTAGAGCTATTCATCCGCTATCCTCATCCTTACCATGTGATCACTAAGTCTTTTCTACTTACCATACATATTCCTGTTGATATCTTTTCTTCCTCCTGTTCTTCAAAGTTCCTCATTGGTTATGTATTGTATCTTGCTCTCACCCACCATGATTCCCTCCATTTCTTCTGTGTGACATTTATTTTCCTTTATTTATATCATAAATGAAATAAAATGAGCATTTCTATTTATGTTGTAGAACAGAAGAAAGAAGGCCTGTACATGAAATTACAAATCTCCATTATGTGGAACTTGCTTTTCTTTTTAAGTAAATAATAAATTCTACATTCAATCTTCAAAGCTGTCCTATTTGTCTGATTCCTCCTGACATTTCTTCATATTCTTCCTGACATTTGCATATGTGTGTTTGGTGGGGGGGGGGGCAAAGAACACTAACCCTAGCTCTCCTTGTTCTTGTCCCCTATCCCAACTGGAAAAAAGCTCTTGTAACAAATATTTATTACTAAACAAAATAGATCCCCACATTGGCCATGACCAAAAATGTATGTCTTATTTTACATCTTTAGGCCATCAGTTAGGAGGTGTGTAGAATATTTCATCATCAGTCCTCTGGAATCATAGTTTTACCAGGATTCTCAAGTCTCTTAGTTGTTTTTCTTTACAATGATGTTGTTACTGTAGAAACCGTTCTCCTTGTTCTATTTACTTCATTGTGCTTTAGTTCATTCAGCTCCTCTCAGGTTTCTCAAAAATCATCCCTGTTGTTATTTATTATAGTGCAATAATATTCTATTGCAATGATACACCATAATTTGTTAAGCAGTTCTCCAACTGATGGGTAGTCCTTTAGTTTCCAGTTCTTTTTCACTACAAAAAAAAGTGTTGGTCTAAGTACTATGAAATTTCAGAGAGTGTAGGTGATCACATCTAATTAAAAGGACTAAAGAAACCATTCATGAAGGAAGTAATACTTAAGCTGGGGACTTGGAGGATGGGTAGGATTTTAATATGTAGATGAAAGGGAAGGCATTTCAGATAGAGAAAGAAACATGGACAAAGGTATGGAGACAGAAAATCACATGGCATAATTGGGGAACACTGAGAAGTACAGTGCATAAAATAAGTAGAAGAGAATAATAAAAGATAAGACCAAAAGATAGGGTTGGGTCATATTGTGGAAGCCTTTGAATTCTAGGCTGAGAGTAATCTGGACTTTACTCTGTTGGTCATTTATAGGAGCCACTGCAGTTGTCTGAGCAAGGGAGTCCAATGAATAGACTGTACTTAAAGAAAATTACCCTGAAAACAATGTGCAGGATGCACCTAAGTGGAGATCCTTTAAATGCTTGGGGTTGCTAGTAAGGATGATATTCAAGCATGTTCAAGATAGAAATAATGAAGGTCTGAACAGGGTGGCAGTAGAAATGGAAAAGAATAAATAATGAAAAAGTAAAATTCATTGAACTTGGCAATTAATTGGGGGTGGGGGAAGGAATTTTAGCAGTTATTGATAATGCCAAGTTTTTTAGTTTAGGTGATTAAAAAAATGGTGCTGTCATGAATAGAAACAAGTAGTTGGGAGTAGAAAGACAAGTCAGATTGCCACACATTGGAGGTGCCAAGAGGACATCCAGAAGCTTTATAGCTTGGACCTCAGTGAAGAGCTCAGAGCTAAAGGTAGATTTTGGGAGTCAGTGACATAGAGGTTTCATAGTTTGGTTTTTTTAAATTCTGAATTTAACAAACACCAAATTAAATGGATATTTTAATATACATGGTAGAACAGAAAAAAATGAAATAGCAAATCTCTATTATTTAGAGTTTATTTCTCCTTTTAAGCATACGATAAATTCAACATGTAACTTTCAAACCTGTCTTCAATTCTGTAACTCCTTCTGGCCTTCTTTCTGTTGTACTCTGTGATTTTAAAAATTATATCAATGATCCACTTTTCTTTCTCTTCTTTTTTTCTTTTTTAAATTTTATTAATTTATTTTGATTTATCAACAATCACTTCCATATGCTTTTGAGTTTAAAATTTTTCTCCCCCTTCCCCTCCCCACCCTTCCCAAGATGGTGCACAATCTCATATAGGCTATACATTTACATTCCTGTTAACCATATTTTCACATTAGTGAAGTTCTAAGTAAAAATTAAAATCAATAGGAGGAACCATTAGAAAGAGGAAACAAAACTCAACAGAAGAGAAAAAAAATGATAGCGATTCAACTTCCATAGTTCTTTCTTTGGATGTGGATGGCATTTTCCATCACTAGGCCTCTGGGGATGTCTTAGATCCTTGTATTGCTGAGAAGGGTTCAGTTTATCAATATTAGTCATCGCACAACATGGCCATTATCATGTACAACATTCTCTTGGTTCTGCTCACTTCCCTCAGCATCAGACTATATAAGTCTTCCCAGGTTTTTCTGAAATCGGCCTGCTCATCATTTCTTATAGCACAATAGTATTCCATTACATTCACATAGCACAACTTGCTCAGCCATTCCCCAATTGATGGGCATCCTCTCAATTTCCAATTCTTTGACACCACAAGAAGAGCTGCTATGAATATTTTTGTACATGTGGGTCCTTTTCCCATTTGTATGATCTTTTTTGGGATATAGCCCTAGAAGTGCTATTGCTGGGTCAAAGGGTATGCACATTTCTATAGCCCTTTGGCCATAGTTCCAAATTGCTCTCCAAAATGGTTGGATCATTTTACAACTCCGCCAACAATGCATTAGTGTTCCAATTTTCCCATATCTTCTCCAACATTTATCATTTTCCTGTTTTGTCATGTTGGCCAATATGATAGGTGTGATGTGGTACTTCAGAGTTGTTTTTCTTTCTTTTCTTATCCTTTGAACAACCCTACTCCTAGCTTCTCTCTCCATCCCATTCCCTTCCCCCCAAAAAAAATTCAAAAGAAAAGTAAAACCCTTTTAACAGTATGTGTAATCAAGAAAAACAAATTCATATATCGGCCATGTCCAGAAACGTATGTTTCAGTCTGCATTTTAAGTTAGTCACTTCTCAGTCAGGGGTAGCATGTTTCATTATTTGTCCTTTGGAATGTTTTTCATTGTATTGATTAGAGTTCTTAAGTCTTTTTTAACTGTTTTTTTTTTCCTATAGTATAGCTATTACATTATAAACGATTATGGTTCTATTCACTTTACTTTGCATTAGCTCATAAAAGTCATCTAAAGTTTCTCTGAAACCATCTCTTTTATAATTTCTTGCAGAACAACAGGATTCCATTACATTTTTATACAATTTTTTCATCCATTTCTCTCTTGATGGACAACCCCTTCTTTGCCAGTTGTTTTTTTACCTCTATAAAAAGAAGTGCTATGAATATTTTTGTCCATATGGATCCTTTTCTACTTTCTTTGATTTCTTTAGGGTATAGGCTTAATAAGGATATGATAGGACTAGCATTTTCCTGACGCAGTTTCTTTACTCCCACCTGGTTTAACTGCCACAGTTTTATAGTCATCTAAAAACATAAAAAGTCCCAGTCATGGGAAGTCTAATACCCTCAGATTTGATGGATTTCTGAAGACTATTCAAGTCAATGTGTCCTTCACTATATCCTGCCTTAATAACCAAACATATATGTGACAAGAGGTGCTGAGTCCAGAGAAGTTAAGTTCCACTGTGTACTTGCTGTTAAAACAAATTAAATCTCCTTTTGTTAACTGTTCAATGATTCTCAAATACCTCATTTCATCTTATCGTCAAGCTTGAACAAAGAGAATACTCTTGTTAGAGCCACCACTAACAAAAAGTATAGCTAGGTCAAAGAGTATACACAGTTTTGTGTCTTTTGGGGCACAGTTTCAAATTACTTTGTAGAAAACTGTGCTAATTCATAATTATACCCACAATGAATGAATTTTCCTGTTTTCCCCACATCCTCTCCAACAATTGTCATTTTCCTTTCTTTGTAATCTTTGCTAATTTGCTAGATGTGAAGTGGAATTCTTTTATTAGTGTTTTGAAGCATTTTTTTTAAAATGATAGTTGATAGGTTGGATTTTTTTCTTTTGAAAACTACCTTTTGACTTTATCTATTGGGGAGTGGATTTTGTTCTTATAAAATTGAATCAATTTACTAAATGTCTTAGAAATGAGCCCTTTATCAAATAAATTTGATGCAATGATTTTTCCTCAGTTCGCTGGTTTTCCTTAATTATGTACTTTTTTTGGGGGGGATATAAAACCTTTAAAATTTTATGTTATCAAAAGTGTCCTTTTATCTTCCATGATCATCCTAAAGAGGTAATAACTAAAGCTTTGGGACTAGATGAAGTTATTGAGGAAGGGAATGGAAAGAAATGAGGAGAAAGAAGAGAATCAGGGCAGTAGGAGGGGAAAGAACCCATAAAGGAGGAGAAATAGAGAAGTAGGAAACCAGAACATTTCAGAAGCCAATGGAAGAGTTTCTTTCTTTCTTTCTTTCTTTCTTTCTTTCTTTCTTTCTTTCTTTCTTTCTTTCTTTCTTTCTTTCTTTTGTATTTTTTCCAATTATATGTAAAGACAATTTTTAACATTCATTTTTACAAAATTTTGAGTTCCAAATTTTTTTCTTTCCCTCCTCTGCTGTCTCCCTAAACAGTAGGCAATTTTATATAGATTATATATAAATCATGTAAAACATATTTCCTTATTAGCCATGTTGTGAAATAAGAAACAAACCAAAAAGGAAAAAAAATACACACAAAAAACAGAAAGTGAAAAAACAGTATGCTATAATCTGCATTCAGACTCCATCAGTTCTTTCTCCACATGTTTTCCTTTCATGAGTCCTTTGAATTGTCTTGGGTCATTGTGTTGCTGAGAAGAGATAAGTCATTCATAGTTGATCATCACACAGTGTTGCTGTTCTGTGTACAATGTTCTCATGGTTCTGGTCATTTCACTTTGCATCAGTTCATGTAGGTCTTTCCAGATTTTTCTGAAATTCACCTGCTCATCATTTCTTATTACACAATAGTATTCCATTACATTCATATACCACAGCTTGTTTAGCCATTCCCCAATTGATAAGCACACCCTCAATTTCCAATTTTTTGTTATCAAAAAAAGTTGCTATAAATATTTTTGTGCAAGTAGGTCTTTTCCCTTTTTTATGATTTCTTTGGGAAAAAGACCTACTAACATTATTGCTGGATCAAAGGGTATGCACAGTTTTATAGCCCTTTGAGCATAGTTCCAAACTGCTCTCCTGAATGGTTGTATCAATTCACAACTCTTTTTCCCACAGCCTCTCCAACATTTACCATTTTCCTTTCCTTTTTTTTTTTTTGGTAGGCAATGGGGTTAAGTGACTTGCCCAGGGTCACACAGCTAGAAAGTGTTATGTGTCTGAAGCTGGATTTGAACTCAGGTTCTCCTGACTCCAGGGCCAGTGCTTTATCCACTGTGCCACCTAGCTGCCCCTATCATTTTCCTTTTCTATCATATTAGCCAATCTGATAGGTGTGAGGTGGTACCTCAGAGTTGTTTCAATTTGCATTTCTCTAATCAATAGTGTTTTAGAGCATTTCTTTATATAACCATAGATAGCTTTAATTTCTTCATTT